GTACGGGAAATGAGAGCTGATCACTCTCACGTACCTGCTTTGAGTTTTTCCGTGCATGGCCACTGGGCTAAGCCGAGAACCCAGCTAGTTTCTACCCTTAGTAAAGGGCTAGTGAGCTCCGCAGACATGCACGTTACGCCGTCACCCCGTCGGTCCGTTTTCGCCTTGAGCTTTTGGCCTTCTTTCCTCTTGAAGTCCTCCAGGTTCCCGTGGTTCGTACTGGTACCCTTAGGAAATGGAACCCTAGGCCGGCGTGTGGCACCGCTTTCAGTTCAGTACACCCTATCCTAAGTGTGTGCCAGCATGGACGATCAAGCTAGTGATCTGGTAAGCCACGTGTTCGACGGTCAAGTCCTGGGCCTCTCGAAAGCATGGAAGCCAAAGGACACTGTGAAAGGCATCAGTGTACAAGGTCACGCATGGCCTGGCATGAACTAGAGCGGTGACCATTCCATATTGCATGTGCAACTCATCCACACATGCTTGCAGCTCCAGTGTTTTCGGCGCCGGTGCTGAGGGATTCAAAACGATCGGACCAACTCCCCCGTTGGTCGTGACACTTGACTAGCTTAGTCTCAGCAAAGCGGCGCTCCCAGGTGTTATCACCAAATGTGGCGCACACCACCCCAAGAAGTGGCCCGTGAAGGACAGAAGCTCTTGCTGGCCTTGACTGTTCCAGTTCTGAAGCAAGGAACGAGTGGCCTCGTCGTGCAATAGATCCAGAGTGCGATCAGCGCGACTACACAGTGCCTCGAACATCTCACAGCCCCGGTGGAGATCCTGCTCACTGTAGTCCCCGGCATTGGAGTTGGTTCTAAAAAAAGCAACCATCGTGGCATTGAGCCAACAGGCCGTGGCCAAGCGCCAACTCATCACAGTGGCAAGGTCCTGGTCTAAGAAGAGCGGCCATTGCGTCCTTGGTTCTTGAGCAACTGCATCACCAGCTGGGTCGGTCTGACCATGTGCTGGCGCAGCCGGGCTTCGATTAGCGTCCACACTGAGTTGTGACTCAGCCACAACAGGGTGTCGTACAGGCGGCTGTCCCGGAGAGTCACTTGGATCAGGAAGGGCGCCACCGTCTTCTTGCTGGAGTTGAAGCTAGGTGGTTGGAGGCTCTTGAACCGGAGTAGATTGTTCGGGTTCTTCATCAGCTCCAGAAGTTCCTCCAGAGCACTCTGAATCTTTTCCCCAGCAATAGGGGTCTTGTTGGGCAAAATCTGCAACTTCCTCTGGGTCGGATCCCACTGGAGAAAGGGCCAGGTCCCGTCCTGGATCAAGATGGACTGTTGAATGCCTTTGGCCCAGATTGGATCCTGGCTTCCCTTGGCCTGGAGTTTGGTGAAGCGCTCCAAGATCTCCTGCAGCACCACCTGCCCCAGCACCACTCGTAGCGGCTGTGTCTGAGGGCCCTTCTGTCTGCTGCTGAGGTCATGACGCCCCACATGCGTCGACTGACTGGTGCGGTGAAGGAAACCAACAAACAAAAAAATCTTGTCTTTCTCTTGTCCTGCTGTTGTCCTCTGGCTGCGCTGACCAGCCCTGTGTCCTCCTCTTGGCAGCGCGCTCCGGGACTGTGTGCTCTGGAACGCACAGCAGCGCGCTCCGCACCCAGGTGCGCTCTGGAGAACGATGTTCTAGTCTAGACTGTTTAAAGGCTTCTTTTGGGCGAGGCGGGTGTTCGCGTTCTAGGCGCGCTCTGTGGAAAATGCTGGGTGCGCAATCTTGTCATCCTCTTGTCCTCCTGTTGTCCTCTTTTCTTGTCCTCTTTTCTTTTCCTTTTCTTGTCCTCCTGTTGTCCTTCTTTTGTTCCCCTCTTGTCCTCCTCTTGTCCTCCTCTTGTCCTCTTCTTGTCATTCTCTTGTCCTCCTCTTGTCCTCCTCTTGCCCTTCTCTCGTCCTCCTCTTGTTGTTGTTGTTGCTGCTGGCCAAACCTGTGTCCTCCTCTTGTCCTCCCGTTGTCCTCTTGTCCTCCTGTTGACCCCTTTTTACCCTTTTGCTGGTCTCCAGATGGCACCATGGCAACATGAAGGCGCGCCACCACCAAGCGCAATCAAAAGGTCCAATGCGAGAAAACAATTGCGCAATCGCAAGCCTTGTG